CAAGGTATTTTGTATACTCCTGCGGAACTGAGTGGAGGTCTTTGATCTTTAGGATTTCTTAAGGTTTGTCTTATCTTTTTGGATCTTTTGAAGATATTTCGGATATTGTTTCGGTGTTTCTTTAATATCCTGCCAATCCGATCTGTTGTTCCTTTGACATATGGTAGGATGGTTAGGATCCTTTCGTCTGGTTGTGTGTCAAAGACCGTTGTCTTGTTTGCATGTTTATATTTTGTCTTGTTTGCATATTTATTGATTATTTTGGTTATGTTTTCTTTATCGTGTCCGTTTTTCTGTAAGGCCAGTTTGAGGTGGTTGAGTTCTGTCTGTAGATGTTCTTTGTCAGAGATGGTGAATATATAAATGTATGCATATTTTGCAAAAAATTATTTTTTACGTAAAAAAATATTTAATACAATAATAATTAGTCGATTATAGCATCAGTGATAATTATAGAAGAAAATTTATTCGGAGTTAAACGAAAAACTAGCGTAAATAATGATTTTCAAAACGTATTAAGCGTTAAATAATCATCACGTTGAAAAAAATTTCAGAGGAGAAAGAAATCTTGCATGGGATTAGCGGAAGGCTCCCTAGCAAACAGTTGATCGCTTTAATGGGACCATCCGGCGCGGGAAAATCCACGTTACTTGACATTCTGTCCGGTTTTCGGACAACCGGAGTGGATGGTTCCATATATGTTAATGGTCGTATTCGACATCTTAATAATTTTCGGAAGTAAGTACAGCTTCGATACTTTCGATACATTAAATTTGAAATTCTTTAAATTAATAATTTATGTAAAATGTGTATTTAAATAAATAAGGGAATTAAAGACATTTTTATATACCTACATCTTGTTCTCTCTTCTTTTTCGATTCTACATTATGTGTATTTACATTGTTGAAAATTTCTTAAGAATTAAATATTGTTTTCGACATGGATATCGATCGTATCATTATGCGTGTCGTTCTAACGCTTCATTAATTCTCTCCCCAGATGCAGCGCGTACATCACGCAAGACGATCGATTGGAACCCCTGCTCACCGTGGTCGAAAACATGAGGGTCGCTGCCGATTTAAAATTGCCTTCGAGCACACCAAAACACAAGAAAGAGATGATCGTGAGTAAAAATTTAGCCAAAACTATTTTATATATTGGACCTTGAATAAGTTCTCGCTGATTTTTCGTGAAAAGTAATGCTTTATTTTTAAAAAGTCGTAAAAAACATGTCACTAAAAGTATTGTCCATCGCTAGCCACTTTTTCTCATCTTTCTGGCAGCATTTGAATTCCACGTCAGAAAAACGACACGTCTTTTAAGGCTATCTATGAGTCAACCCATTTTTTGGCATCATCATAAGAATGAAAGTGCTGCTCAGCCAGCCCATGTGCCATCGATCGGAATAGTGATAATCGGAAGGGGCAATGTCTGGTGAATACGGAGGGTGGGGTAGGACTTCCCATTTAAGCGTTTCCAGGTAGGTTTTCACCGGTTGTGCAACATGTGGCCGTGCGTTGTCATGTTGCAAAATCACTTTGTCGTGTCTCTGCTCGTATACCGGCCGTTTTTCCTTCAATGCTCGGCTCAAACGCATCAATTGTAGTTGATAGCGAGCTCCCGTAATGGTTTCGTTCAGTTTGAGCAGCTCATAATAAACTACACCCAGCTGATCCCACCAAATGCAGAGCAGAAGCTTCGAACCACGAATATTCGGCTTTGCCGATGATGTTGATGCATGGCCGGGCTTACCCCACGATCTTCTACGCTTAAGGTTATCGTAGCATATCCACTTTTCATCGCCAGTCACGATACGATGCAAAAACCCTTTCCTTTTCTGCCGTTGAAGCAGCTCTTCACATGTGAAAAGACGCCGTTCGACGTCTCTCGGCTTC